GTTCGTAACACTTCCTTCAATGTTATTACGCCTATTACAATTATCATTCTTGTCATTCAAAAAGCAATCTCAAAGAGAAAAATTTAGGTTTGGGCAACAATTTGTCTGTCCATTCGAGCGTAATGGGTTGTAGAGTTGCAAACAACTGAATGAACGACCTAACTCACGTTATTCCGCCTTTCTTGCTTGAAGCAATCTACTTCCTAAAGCTCACATGAAAAGCCTGATGTCGACTCTCCAAAACAACCTACTCGGCAACACTCGCTGATTATATCACTACTTCCTTAGAACCATTTAATGAACAATAAAATTGTTCTAAGATGAACGATTAGAACAGCAGCGGGTACGCGCTCTTTCCCAGTTTTGCATATACAGGATAGTCGAATGCGGAGGTTATTGTCTACCATAATAGCTATAGGCTAAGCTCGATGGTTCTTCGTTTCCTTAATTATGGAAGACTCTAAATGTAAAACTCAAGTTTTGCGAATCTGAGCTATAAAAATAACATTCCAATTCGACATCTCAATATGCACATTTTTGTTCCTTTTCGCAAGCTTATGGCGAATAAATACAGAGCATAAGTTCCTTAAAAACATTCACAGTTGTTGTGCAACTTCAAATGTCACTATTTTCCTAATCAACATGTTAGGACAATTGCTTGCCAACCAACAACAGAGTAAATGCGAGGAAAGGTGAATCAACAAAATTAACTGGTATTTATTGAGTTGTTGTCTCGCAAAGCTGGTTCCGCACTCTAAATCCAAAAATTTGCCATCCCTTGCATCGTTTAGCATGTCATATAGTTTGTCAAAGGTGTTTACATTTTGAATGCTTAGAATTAGCGAAGTGAATTAAATACCTTAAGCAATCTTTTCATGCTAGAAACGTTTAGTATGGTTGTGAAAGTCAACAGAAGTCAACAGAATGTTTTATCAATATTCATGGATATGCTCATTGGAAAGATTAGAAAAAGAAGTAATTGAGTGATCTTAAAATTATTGAATATCCCATCGAATAAAAAACCCCTCACCATGAGTGAAAATCACTAAACTTTTGCGAATGCCTATCAAACTTTAAAAAAGCCCTCACCTTTAATGGCGAAGCAGATTTGAAGCGAAGTGAACGATTTCAGAAGTTCTAATAATTCCAGTTGCACCTGTGGTTCCATATATTTCTGCTGTCCCTGTATCTCCTGCATTAAGCTACCACCATATGTTCCCGGTACGATCATAGTCGAAGCCGCCGTCTTTCCAATTCAAATTTTGAACACTTGTTGGAGTTTCACAGAAAAATAATCTTTTTTCACAGAGTGGTCATTACTATTACCCTCGTGCAGCTGTTCACAACTTGGCAAAGTCTTATGCAAAAGGTTGTCATCTGAATATTAACTTTTTTCTATTTTTATTCGTATTACTTTCTTTTTAGAGAGTGGGCATTCCTCTGAAACATCGATAGTTTCTGGAAGCGGACACCTGCCTCATGGCTTAGGACTCCACTTTCATCCCTTAGCAGATCCTTTGATTTTGGCCGAGCTATGGCGAACACCCCTTCACCGTGGGAAGGTTGTCAAGAGTGTTCACAGGAGTCGCAAAGTTGTGAACAAGAAAACTCATTGAGATTTAATGCGATTCACAATTCAAAAACACTTTGTCCTTGGCCTAGAAGTGAAGTCATAAAACTTTATAGAGTATATAGTTCATATTAGCATTCAACTTAAAATTATATGGAATAAACGGTTATAAAAGGGAGCGAGAACCATTCTACAGTATAATGATCAGCTAAGGGACTTATTATAATTTGATCCTTACTCTTTCCATTAAAGGAGATTCGAAAACCAATTTGAAGGAATTATTAGAACTTTTGAAATCGTTCACTTCGCTTCAAATCTGCTTCGCCATTAAAGGTGAGGGCTTTTTTAAAGTTTGATAGGC